CATTAGGCCTTTTGTGCACATTATTATAAAAGCTTCCGTATCTCCCGATGAATAAAACAAACCTATATTGTTTTTACTGCTGTTTCGCTGCTAAGTGCTAAAACTTTATCAAAGTGTTATTGGACTGTAATTTACAGGATCTCAGCTTACAGATAACAACTTAGTCATCGTTCCTCAGCATGGGGTAATTTTTACGTCGTAATTTTGGCCAGTTGGTAAGATAACAAGACCGTGTGCATACTGTTAGATTTGATAAGCGTTTAGAATTATAGAGGCTGCATGTGCTTACATAATGAAATTGCTTATCACATTAAAGGTGATGTAACTAGGTCAAATTTCCCTTTAGTCCATCATTCGTATTCAGACAATATGTATTCCATTTGATATGTAGTGCTTCGTATATTAGACGTTCCTCGTGGTTTATGAAACGTTTTCGGATAGTTGCAATATTGTCAAAATCAATTTCGTAACCTGATTCTACAGCGTTTATACCTCAGACCATTTTCCAAACTGATCTAGTTCGACTGGATTTCATGGTGGTCGAATAGATACACTAGGGCGTTTATTCCTTCTCATTTTGATTTCTTTGAATGCTTGTCCGATGTATATCGCATCACATTCCAAGCATTACGTTTTGTAGACACAGTTGGATTGGGAATCCTTAGGGGTCTGGTCTTTTATATGCACAAGGTTGCTTCTCATTATGTGATGTTTATACGAAAAATCCGATACTGTGCTTCTTGAGTACTCTTCTGATATCCTGTCATCAACGAATCTCAGCCATATTTTAGGCGAGGGTATGTTTGAGAGATGAGTTCATGAAAAGACCGCACGCTATCGGAGAAAATGGTGAACTTATAGCAACACCATTTGTCTGTCTATGTAAATCCCCTTCAATTGTAAAATTACTTTTCAGGCAGAGTTTTAAGCTCTTACTTACTTCGTTGGTGTCGAGTGGACGCCTCTGTGATAGGGTTGTGTCTGATTCTAGTAAAATGAAAATGATAGCAAGACTTTCGGTTATGGGAATGTTACGGTTTAATGAGTCATTGTCATGGCTAACCTTAACACCTCTATCAACTTCTTACTGTTCCGTTTCGAATTTAACGTCACATGAATCTTTTATAGAATTTCGAGTGTTCTTTTACAGTTGTTCCAGTATCGAAGATGAATTCTCGAATCGTTTTACGCCAGTAAAATGCTGGTAAAATCTGCTACTGGTCTTGATAGGATTGTGTGCTTATGTACCTTTGATTGACTGTAGAATCTTGAGAGTAAACTAAATTTTAGTTTTAATTTGAACCAAACAGAATTCCCAAATTTGGGTGTGAGCTCTTGGAGTCTGTTGGTGTTCAGTTTCATTCTGTTGAATTAGACCCATTTCCTCCTTCCTTCAATAAGTAAGTATGATCTATTGGATAAGTATTCAGTTGCCGTCTTTTCATAACTAGTTTTGTTCATTACCGCCGTGACGTTGCCCTCATCGGCCTTAGTTATACCGGTGCTTCTGTCCTTTCACACTTCTTAGGACTTCATTTACTTGTTTGGTTTCGTTGTGTCATTAAAATGTGTTATACATTTTGAGGCAGAGATTGTGATTCCCTTTCGGTGATCAGTTGTTGAGCGAGTTAGATCATACGTGCTATTTCCTGAATCGATAATTGCCCCGAATCGCCTTTTGCCATTAATTCACTGAGGAGTACAAAACTTTTATGTTAATAAATTTCCCATACCTAATGCACAGTTTTTTAAATTATTAAATTTGAATTTGGTTTGGACGTATATGGACCGTTTGTGGTTCATTGTACATTTTTGCTCGAATTCATATTTTAATTGTGGGCTAGGTTTAAGCTCAGCTATTGTGTTATTTCTGTAAGGACGCCAGATAACCTAATATTTGTCCCCATTATCTCTAATTGATTCACATTTGAGGGTTTGCACCGTTTTAATTGATACATTTCCTTTAAGAGAACAATGAACTTGCAGTTCTTCGGAAGCTTTGAAAGGAGCCTAGAAAGACATATTAACATGTCCACTCTAGCTCGTCTAAAAGATAACAACTGCTGGTAGAGTGGGGAGACAATGACATTTCAACATTTAACTACGGAAAGCACACTAGTCCCAATACTAATATAATAATACTTAGTAATTATGCATAATCAATTCTTGAAATTTGATTGTCATTACAATACTTAAAATGATTAAAATATTTATGCAGCAAATGTCCTCTTGCTTTACCACGCTTGTTTTCCCTTATAACACTCAATTATTGAGCTTAATGTATTCTTTGATAGTACGAATTATAATATTGATTACACTCTTATCATATATAGTTTGATTTACTTTACGGCGCCCTGTAAGACTAACTACCCTCCTTCAGTATACACACACTGCAGTATTGTTAACCAAATGTTAAAATTCTGTTGGTTCTGTGTTAATATCGTTTTATAATATGTGTAAACAGGTTACTTTGCAATGTCAAATGTTTACTATATAAAAGACTGTCATGATAATTTAGTACAATAAGTCCTGCCAACCGACCTTACCTTCAGTTCATACTACCTACATTGAACTCTAACTATAGTGTTCTGATGAATCTTGCTCCACTATTCACAAAACCTATTCTTTTTACTCTTTAAAGGTTTAACATCTTATAAACTAATCTGTTCATTAGGACGCATGCACACATATGCAATATGTTCATAAATCTGTATGTGGAGATCTATTGGAAGCACTCGCTAAGAAAGCTAGGGAAATGGAATGTGAGGCACGAGCGTGTCTGGAACCAAGCAATATATTTGCTGTAGCCAAAACAACCAAAGCCTAACATCATAAAAGGAGGGAGGGTGGCGCATGCTGATCAGTAGATATGGTGGTGGTCACTAAGGTGAATCGCCCCATTCTGCAGGAACGGCAATATGCAATTTGAAGGCTCGAGATTTTCTATGACGGCTTGAATCTTTATCTTGAAAAAGATAACAATGATCGCCTAGACATATCATGCTTCTACCTTTAAACATATACCATTCGGTCAGCCTATTGCTGAGATGCAACCACGTGGGCTCTGCACAGATTTATGGGTCATCTTATAAATTAACACGCTTTCCTTTGTCGTATCTTCGAATATCACTTAACAATGTCTCATCTCATTCATTTTCTAATAACGTCTTTACTTGCTCCTCATTATATTCCATTAAACCTGACATTTTATAGCCTTTTATGAATTTGATTCAACTTATTTTATTCCTATTCTCTGTAGGATACGGTTGTGCACCAAATACACAAAAAGGTATGAAATAAAAACAATCGGCTTGTGGATAATTTTATTAAAACCAAAAGTGGACATCATGATAGTAAGACCTATATGGGTAGCATTATACATTGCAAATGAACTTAGTCAGCCTAGGGATTATAGTCTCCCATTGTATTTCCTTTATGAATGCACCTATTATTGATACATTGCGTTTACCTATTTCATTACACCTTAATGATTCACCTTAGCACCTTCACTTTTCTAAAACAGCTTACTATCCCTTGTAAACGTTGTACTTACCTCAATATTGCTTGGTTGTCGTATGCCTACAACTGCGGATTGAAAACGAAACGAAGTCGATTTTCCTGCGCAACCTGGAGGACTACTGTTTAATTCAATAATGATACGACATGGGTCAGACAATGAGTGTATTTATATATATATATATATATCAAATATTTAGCTGTTCAAACATTATAAACTTGTAGACAATCTACTATTTGACATTATATCATACTTGATCGTGCCTGTAAAAATGGCATGCATTTTCATGTAAATTTATGTTTACATGAAAATATACATTAATATTATTATTATCAATATAAACCTAGTTAGAGCTGATTTTTTGTTTTGGATTTGGTGAGGTCTGGTTTTGCGTCGGATTTGGTCGAAGACTGCAAGTCTCTATCCTAAAGGGTTGTTCGTGCAGTGCCAGTAACAATATCTTTATTCCAGTTAAAATGGCAACCACAGAGATTGACTCGAAAGTTATCTAAGTCAGCCTACAACAACTCACTTACTTCTGTGGATCACATACATTCATACACTTCATCATACACAAAATTACCAACTATAATGACTTATGTTGCTTTCATTTGGTGCTCTAATTTCTGAGATATCTTTGAGGTTGAACATTACATCTTGGAATGTGCAATATTGTCGCTGTTTCCTTATTCAGAAGAAAGTCTAGCCTTCTGGAAACAGTAAAAAGACAAGAGGGGTGAGGAGTTTACTAAATAAACCATATGATGAACGGCTGAAGAAACTTGGTCTTCTTGCCTTTAGCTACCGTTGGCTTAGAGGGGACTTAATTACTGCCAATGCGATCACAAATGAGCAGAATCATCTAAATAGAGGTATTCTGCCACTGAGTGCGTATGGGTTTCCTCATGGGAATCAATGAAGGATAGTGCACCGGAGAGAAAAGACCCAAGTGCACTCCCATTTCTTTTCACTTTGAGTTTGATGCTTCTTGAACTCTCTAAAAGCGCCATCCGTGCAAAGCTTTAAGCAGAGGCTGGACAATCGTGCAGCAATACAAGGACTGTGTTCAAACGGTCCACTCCTCACAATTCACATACACAACTATAATGAGTATACAAGTAAACTCGTCTTTTTGTTCCCTCCTATTCTACCTTGTCCTACTCTCCTGACTACTCTATCTTTTAAGTCCTTTTTATAATTATAGTTTTTAATACATATTTCAGATTGCATTGCCTATCTGATTGAATCTTTTGGAATCGACATAAATCACACTCATTATATGTCTACTATTACTGGTAGCATCTCTCTTTTCGATCCCGCCAGATGACTAACGTGTGAAATGACCAACTATATGCACAGCAGAAACACTATTTTTACACACCGAATACACTGGATAAAGTGATATTGGATATTGGATTTAGCGCTGCATTCAAACTGTTTGTCTTGTTATCGTGTATCCCAGTCTGTCGTTATTATGTGACTGATGATTAAAATCCACTGCTGTCAAAATTATACTGAATTAAATATTTTAAATGTCATTCTTTTGAACGAAAAACACCTTTCCTACAGATTTTCGGAAGGAACTCTTGTTGAGGATGTTCTTAATGATGTTTGCACGTTCATTAAGCTACAGGAGCGCGATATGTTTGGACTTGCTTTACCTACTGGTAGTATCTCGTAAATATTGAGGGAATAAGTGTGCAATTTTAGATGAAGGATGGCTGTTCGTTGAACCCAGCGAGTTTCTCCATAAGGTAGTCAACAGTTACCTTACTCCTATGACCAGAATCACTGGAATGGTAAGTTCACCTTCACGGAAAAAGTGTTGATAAAATTGTTGTTGGGTCCCCCTTTTGTGTTTCAACTGTTTGTGATGGTTTAGTTTTGGAAATCGCTAGTTTTGAGGGGCAGAGATCTGAATCTGTCTTTCTCGAGAAATGTTGAGCTTTTATCTGTTGGAGTATGTCACAAGAAGTCTCTGAAAAAGGAGGTTTGCGACTTGTCTGAGTATATTTTGTATCCAGATACTTGTGATTTGATTCGTGTAAACTTCAGGGCCCTTTAATCTAATTTGAGAGTTCAATAAAAATACAGAATTAATATCCATCTCGCTCGAAGAATTATGGTAGCCTTACTAATCTAGTTTACAAATCTGTCACATCACGAATCATGGAAGTTATTTTTAATTTAAACTGGTAATTCCACACAAGATTTACTGTGTGGGTGTGCATCCTAAAATTATGTGCATATTGATGTAGAGGTAAATGCCAGTCTTAGGTCTACAGTTATGCAGACATTAACGTTGGAGGCTGCTACTCTTTTAGTGAACTTCATAAACTATAGGCACCTTTTAGAAAATCAAGCATTTTGGTAGCTGTGAACAGGTAGGCTTTATGCACATGGATGCGTTTATCCTTCAACTCTCAAAGTACTTGTTTTATTGTTACTAGGAAGGGATCAAAACAACAGGCTGATCGTACAAAACACAAACTATATTTCAAGACCGGAAATGAAGAAAGGTGGTTACCGCCTACGTAGCTAGGGTTCCTGTACGACAGCGTATAAAGTGGTGTGCATTCGTTCATTCGACTTAACCAGGTTACTTTAACAGTCAAGATTGACACCTGGTGTTGAGTGGTTAGTGCTTCAGTCAAGTAATTTTTGGGAGTTACTTGTCGCCTCATCATGATGCTGTGTTACTTTCGGTTGTGAGTACACCACAATCGATACCTAGCTATTTAATCACTAATCTCCTTTTCAAGAGGGACATCCCAAAATACTAATTTTGTTTTGTGAGATAAAGTACACTTTCTTACTTTGTATTACTATTTGCTTCCAATTTGATATCATAACCCATTTGGGGATTATAGTCACGTACCGTAGTTTATGTCATCCTACCGCCATAGATGGACCTCAAATCCTAATCATTACCATACTTCATGGCTTGAGTATTTTTTCAAAACATTCCAGTTAAATGACTTCCAGTCGCAAGTCCCTCTGCATTTAACTTCGGATTTAATCGACTTTCTGGGGAACAGAGAAGTGTTGACAGGTTGTTGCTTACAATGAAGAGACCTTAGTGGAATCAGACAATGTCTGGGAGCTGAGACTTAGCCCTTATAATGAGTTTTTATGCTGGCTTTTGTCAAGAAATATTCTGCAAGTCATCATGTGTGTGATTAATATAAAATATCATCCCCAAACAAAATGATGAAAAAGACCGGTGAAATCTTCAGGAAATACTATATGCTTTAGCCGTGTAACGTCTTCCTTTCATATATTTCATCTACTGCATATAGATGTTCTAGCCTTGAAGTCTTGATGCTAATTCGTACACAACCTAATTTAAAAAACTCTCGTTAATTTCTTTTATTAGATATGTCCTCGGTGGAATGACTCCGGCTCTCTGAGTCAATTTTCCTGTAGTTTCTGCTAGTTTAACTAAATATTACGCAGCAACTTCTTATCTCGTCTCAAGAGCATATAGATTTCCATTAACAGGGATAACTATCATCCACTGTTGTGGGGTGTGCATTGAAAATTAGTACATGATTGTCTGGAACTTTTCTGTGAGCACTGATATTTACTTTAAGAAACATATAATTCTTAGATATTCCACAATTCACATGTGTTTTTCTTTGTCTGTTTAATGAATTCCAGTGGATATAGAAACTGTATATTACATAAAATTCTGTTTACGGAATTTAGTTGCAGAATGGAACATATATATGATGTGGTTTGGTCAAATTAAAAAAATGGTTTGCTCGCGTAACCTATTTGAAATGTTAGAGTTTGTCAACAGGTGCCGATATATTTTGTTATAAGTAAAAAATTCACTCATCTTACTCGAAGAAACCTTTGTCTCTAAATTAACCCCCAGAAAGAAATCGAGACGATGTGTTCAACTTTTAAAAAAAACGAATGGACTTTCAAGAGGTCACTTGTTTTTCAATCAAATAAAGATACTCAAGTTGCTGGTATAACACGTTCACATTTTAGGGTCTTACATTATTTGCACACGGGAAAGTTACGGATACGAAAGTTGTTCAGACATGATTTAACTGAAAGTATTCTAACCCACCTCAAAGAATGATGGACAAAGAAAGCTAAAGAAGCGGAAAAGGCATCAGTCATACTGGTCTACTACTTAGGCTTATTAAGGATACGGGTTTCGAAAAGCTGTAGCAAGTGTAATAACCTCTGAGAAAGACTTAACCCAAATAACTTCTTAAAAGGGAAATAAATAGTAACTTCAATTCAGCTGGAGTTTGAATTCTATACCTATGAAAGTCTATTGTTATGATTGTATGGTGATGGGATCTACAAATGTTTAATATTTTTAAAAATCATCTGTTATGTTACTAGACATTTTAAATCTTAGGAATTATGATTAGATGTATAAATGTTTATAACTAAGATCATGATGAACTGACAGATAGTGACGTAGTGGTTTTTTCTATTAGATATATTTATACCCCTGTTACTACAGTTAGTTTGGATTCAGCTGTGCGTGTAATATCAGCAGAACACTTCATGTATAACAAAAGACTCTCATAAGGATAAATTAGAAAAATAAATTCTATTTCACTACCTTCTTTTTAGCTTTGTACAGACTATTAACTGAAAATCGTCAGAATGTATATTAAATATATATATACTTCAAGATTTAAGACATCCATCAGTCCTTCGCTGAACATTAAAAAATACCAAAAGTGAAGGTAGGAAGAATAGTAAGATATCAAGAGACCGGGTATGAATTCAGGTGGGTGGTTTTAGAAATGGACAGAAAAACAGGTGAACTAACATGGCAGTCTAAGCAGAAATGTATCACTTCATGTTGCAACATTTCATATCAGCACGCACAAAAGAACACAGAGTACACATAAATGATATTTCAGGGGATGATCACGAATATGACAGAAAAAAGAATGAATTAAATATCAGCGAATATTATGGAATTTTCCCAAATAATAAAGATGTTATCAACAATTTTAATCCATGTCTCCTAGACTGATGAAGCTTTCAAATGCCAACCACCCCCACTCATTTGTGAGCACTCACCAGCACGGTCCGGTGTGTGATCAATACCCACAAAAACCGACAAACTCCTACCAATCTCTTTATTCTCTCATCTGATTACGTAATCTTTGTTTTCAACCTCACCCCTCCTTTTTTTTTATTCTTATTTTTAAAATCTGTAATATTGCTTGTCTCTTTTTTTTATCTGACGTGATTTGAACTCAGTACATCGTTACAAAATTTATTAGTTACTCATCATCTTACTCACCTCTCGTCTTTATTACGTAACTCTTTTACCATTGTATGCATACATCTATTTTGTTTAAACTTGAACTGCCTGTGAAAAAACTATATAAGCGCAATTTTCTGAGCACTGTTCACTTATTGTGGAATCTTCTGTCAACTGACAACATGTAAAATTTGCAAGTATGTAAAAAAACTTTTCTGTACGTAAACCTCACAATTTATTTAGGCTGTAAGCAGCTGATGAGAAGCCGACGAAACAAATGATGGTACCATATTATTCTGCACAAACCGCTGTTGTTCTTGCTTTATTTAAAATCTCCTAAAGGGATGACCTGTGTGGAATCGGTCTAGTTTCATTCACAGTCGGCTTACTGTCAGCGGTTTGATAAGGCCTCTTTTTATGTTTTTATATAGTATTAGTTACAGAGAGGTGACTGTCCAAAAACAGTTGTAGTGGACGACTGTCGTCATCGGTTTGTATGCGTGAAACCTTATTACCATTCCTAGCATTCTTTTTCATCTGATTTAACTTCCTTGTTTAAGTACTGAAGGCATCTTCCTAGGGCTGCTTCATTTAGGAGTTTAGATTTTCGAAGCTTTTAATGAAACATTCTTTACAAGCATAGTCTACAAACAGGTGAAGTATAGAAATTTTTCAACACTGGATAAATTTAGAAGATTCATCATACCGGCCGGATCTGTTCAAATCATTAACCACATGTGGATCTTTTATACATAACACATCCATGATCTCAGGAGCTTGACTTTTGACCAATGTGGATCGCTGTCTTAATTTGCATAGTGTTCGGAATTCAAAATACTTATGTGGTGCTTGATACTCTCTGGCTGCTAATCCCGTAGAAGTTTGTAGCTTGTTTCACCTGATGTGATGACAGAGCCCAGTGAATGTCTTTTTGGATCTAGCCACACACAGATTACTAATACGAGTTAGATTTTATGGAGTTTCCGTACTGTCGTTTGCTAACCCTTTTAGACAGAATATATTTATCGGGGCCAATCTTTTCTAGCTGCTCTTCTCTAGGGTCTGAAAACGATGTGAATAGCTTGCAGTCCATTAGACTCCGTGACAACGGCACAGTTTTGTTTTCAGACCTCAGCCTTCACTATAACAGTAACTACCTTGAGTCTTATCACTATCCAGCCAGCTGTTGGTAGAGAGTTATGAAAATATACTAGTAAACAGCCGTATACGTTGTCAGGTAAGTAAGCCTAAACAACAAGTCTCTAAATGATATTCAGATAAAAATGGTTTCCTTTCCTAGTTTATTTGTTTGCAGCTTTCGCCAACGTATTTCATAACTAACACTTTCGAAAAAGACATTATTCAAAATCATTACCCTAGCCCAATACTGTAGTATTCTGACAGCTCATTTTTCGTCGGTTATCGGTGGCACAGTGGTTAGGACTCTCGCCGACCATGCACATGGTCTGGGGTTCGATCACCTGCCGACACATACCCGATATCCATGGTCGGCCTGTAAAATTTGGGCTACCGATATCCATGCTGAAAATTCCATACTTGTACTGAAAATACGGTGTGGCATCAAGCTGTAATCCAAAATAAAATATAAAATAATTTGTGTAAGATGAGAAATTCCTTACATCAAACTTTTGAAATAATTGAATCGTTAACATATTTCATTGTTGAATTATTCAATTAAGTGATGTTCAGATCTGTAAAGTAAAAATTCTTTTTCGCTATTTGTTCAATCAAGAACTTAATTTTTGGATGAGTTTTATGAAATGTTTTGTTCTATCATTACACACAGCAGAAATCTCATTTGCATTCCTTACATGGGATTTAGCTTCCTTGATTACCGTGACTAGTTTTGTTTCTTTTCAGTTCTATTGATTTTCCATTCACAGAACATATGCCACTGCAGTGCGTTATGTAAAAATGTGTCGTTACTTCTCAGTTTAAACAGGTAAAAAAGTAATAAATGAATAAAATACTACATGATAATCACGCACTGTCTTTGTTTGCATCTTTATACATCTACGGAAAGACTATGCTGTACTATCTTCAGAGCTTTGCAGAAGAATTTCAGGCATTAATGTTGCCTACTGTAACACATTGTAACAAAATACGAACTAGTTATTCCTGATGACCACATAGCTAATATCACTCCTTGTGGAAGTTCACTTTGAAATATAGAAAGTTCTTACAAACTGAATATCTGTGTGCTCATTACTTGAAAGAAATAATTACAGAACGAGGAACTTAGTAACTAATCGAATATGTTAAGAAATATAAAGATATAAAATATGAATAAAAATGCATCCTGATCATAGGATGTAAATATTTGTGGCACAAAATAATTATGACACATATTCTGAGGAAAATGATACACCTGATCGAATTCAGTCTCAAATACACAAACTTCCGCACGTGTAAGGCAAATCAATCCTTATCATCTAAAAAAATAGTATTATATCATTTCTGTACGAGTTTAAAGCCATTATTATCATCATCCTAGCTATTTTAACTGTGATGAAATAGACGTGTTGCACTTTCAGTAAGTTCTATAATTACTACTGTAAAACATTATGAACGTTATTACTTAACTGTGAATATGATAGATAGTTCAGTAAGATTTCTACGTAAGATAATTTTCTGTAAATTTTGATTTGAAATGATAGTAATGGAGTGGAAACGAAAATCTATATATATCACTGTCAACAACCGTAGAAGAAATTCCCAATGGAAAGCTTTTATTTAAAAAGGAATAATTGTATTGCATGTTTATAACCTAAATAAAGCCAATATAGTAAACAGAATAGCATTTATACTAAAACCCGCGCTGAAGCTGTTGTCTAGAAGGAGGACGAAAGCTTCGCAATTAAATCAACTAGTTCAGAGAATACAACTAATTCAACATCATCCACCTGAGCTATAAATCTTCTGCATTATTTTGGAGTAGCATTCAGCGAAGGAAATCCTACAGTTTCAACGTTGGTACATAATTAGCAAAATACTGACCAGCATATATTTACAGCTACGCTAGTTCCAAAATCCTAGGTTTAAGCAAATTAAAACAAATTTTATTGTAAACGAGATGTGTATCATATTGCATAATTTACTGGTAACATAATTGAATTGGAGGTACATTAACATCAACTGGGGAAGAACAAAAGGCCAGTAGAACACTGGATTCCAAACTACGGTCTAAATGATGATATATTCGTCCCAACACTTTGTGGTCTTGTGTTTGATTCGCATGTGGTCACCACTGATTAGTCTTAAAGTTGAACGAAATGGGTGTTAGTTTTCATTAGTTCTGTAGCTAGTGTTAGTTTTTGATAAAATTTTAATCATTTATTTTAAATCTTTAAGACAACGAAACATTTTATCTTGTTATGCATCTTCAACACTTTATTAATAGGGTGTTTTCTTCTTACCACCAAACAAATCGAATTTTCGTCACCAACCTCCTTCACCAATAACATCATCACATCCAACTGTGTATTTTCGCATACGTTTTTATGTTCCAATTTACTGTTTAAATGAACGTACAACACAACACTTTTATTACAAACAATTAAGGAAAAATCATATTGCCTATAATTTATTTTGTGATCCGAATGTCTACTTACAATTAGCAGCATTTGCATTACAAGCTGAAGTAGGTAATGCACCGAAAAAATACAATATCGAAACTGCTGCACCCTACTTCCCACAAGAACTTTATTATCCTAGTAAAGTAAGTTGATATATTTTTCTATTGTTTTCTTGAATATACAATTTTTTTCGTTTAACAAATATGCAAACTGACTGACTGAACTATGCTCTAGTTTAAACTGAACTAATAGTTTCTCATTAATACGACGTGTTACAACTCTAAATCATCGGATCATTGAGTTATCTGTAACTGTGCTATTAATCTGTCCTGTTATTCAGCACTTAAACATATGGTTAGTTTTCCAAGTATACAGATTCTACCTCAACCTGGATAAGTGGCTAGTATGCTTTGAATCGCAAAGAAAATTGTTGAGAATTTGTTTCTTAGCTTGAAAAGGCATCAGTTGGCGCAGTACTAAAGTCAAGATTTACACCACACAAAAATTTGACATTAGGAACTCAAATATCAAACAAAAGATGTAGATCGATCAAGGTAAAGAGGATGATCCTGATATGGAATCTACATTCTGACGAAAATCTAATGCCATATAACCGCCGAAATCTACCCTATTCAGTCATCGTGCACTAAGGGATGCCTGTCTCAGGTTTACTCAGTCATGACTAGTTTGCAAGTTTCCTGATTGATTTGCAAACAGCCTGATAATGCCACAAAAACAATATTCCACACTATACAAGCAAAATGTTGACTGCATTACAACTCAAGTCTCTATAATGAAGTAACTTTATGTGGAAGTGGTTATCGAAAAAACAGCAGCCAAAAACACAGATTTCTGAAAAAAATGAACCTCAGGTATGAATTAAAATGAAGAGTCTATTGGATGTGAAACGATGAAGGCTGTTGGATGAGATTGAAAGTACTCAAAATAATACTACACAGAACCACAGATGAAAAGATTTATGGAACTAATGAATGAAAAAAACCTTAGTGGAGAATTACAAAAAAAGGTAAATCTATTGAATTTCGAATTAGTTATGGATTTACAAATCAGAGCTTTCAGTTATCGATTTTCAGCCCAGAAACTTAATTCTTTTTCTTGAACCATTGTAGTCTGCTGAGATCACACTGTCTACTACGAACTGAAACTTCATCATTTGAAGCGTATTTTAAGTCAGAAAGCAGGTCTAACATAGCGGGGTAGAAATGTCTGTTGTATCTGAGATCCATGTACAAGACTCAAGTTTGGTTACTTGATTAACATCATCTAACTAATATGCAGGATCAGTACAACCAAACTGAGTGAATTATTTCTGGTGCGCTAAATGCTGTTTAGATAACTTAGAATCTGAATCTTCACATAAGCTCTATATTTATAGTTTCGTGGGTGTTCGTTCATAAACAAATGAATCTATCCCTTCTTCAGCTATACGGTGGTCCTCTAATCTTCACTCAGACCGAGAGTTGTCATTGGATTTATGTTAATTTGTTATGGATCTACAACATTTCAATAAGCACGCAGCAAATGCAGATTATCTGAATGGATAATGAACTCAGCTGATTTAAATAGTTAACTAGCTTACTGACTATAGCAGGTTAACTTACGTTATTTCTTGTGACAAATGATTTGATTACTTGACAGTCAATTGAGTATAGTCTAGTTGTATATTTAATCTTTAACAAACTGGCAGTGATTTTCATTTTATGCTTTAGGTGAATATTTGATATATGCCTAGCATAATGATCAACATAATAATTTAGGTGAAAAAACTTATTGCTTGTTTAAACTAACAAAAGTAAAACATTATTCCATTAATTTATTCAGAACAAAATAGCTAGAGCGAACAATTGTTTTCATTAAATTCTCCTTCATGATCTACAATTATAAATTCATTAGTTTAAGCATACAAGGAGAATTTATTGAAAACAATTGTTCGCTTTAACTATTTTGTTTTAAAACATTATTAGAAACATCCGAAACGCTATATTCCCTGACCAGCAGTTCATTTTCACTGAATACCTATTTATTCATTAAAATTTTAGTTTACTGAATCATCGGATAAATCTGATCTGGTTTACCATACCTACATACGTCATTCAGCGCTTCGCAATACTGTAGCCTATTTGGCTGAATTTCACTTTAGTCGTCTGGCAACTAAACTTAATTCAGATTTCAATTTACACTTATATCCACTTAAGAAACTTTCTGAGAAATGTCGTTTCTCTGTATTGATTGGTATCAGTCCAAATGGATTCACCTTATATCAGGTAGGGAATAGTAATGTGATTATAAAGCTATTACTTGAAATACACTTTCATTTTAACTTTTTTGTAATTCATATTATAATTACTATTTTCACTTTAGTTGAAATATGTCTGTCTTACTTTGCCTTGTGAAGTATTATATCAGATAGTTCTCCACCTTATAAATTTGTCACTTGTGCCTAAACTTTAAGTTCCTAATAATCTTCATTCTCTTAAATTGTCTGTAATGTGATCAAGGTTATTGAGAAGTCAAGTAATTTACAACTGATTATTTACAGAGTAAAACAGCATCTTCAGACAAATGAAAGAATTACACCATTTCGAAATTATTCCTCCCATACTTAAAAAATTCTGAAAAATAATTTTCTGCAGACTGTTATTGTAAGTGTAATCTGTTTAGAAATTTCCTATCCATTCGGTTCTTTCTGTATAGTACATCATATAAATCATTAAGATAAGAATTGAATTTGCCGTTTATAGACATAACACAGCGGTCTACTATTAAAAGCATATTAAGGTCACCCATCAGTTTTCACTTTAACTACCAGTTAACAAACCATCATTTTGTAAAATGACTACATTTTAGGTCATTATGTGCATATGTCTGTATTGGAATAATGATTCACTACGGACCTCGAATATGCTTTTTAACAAGTGAACCAAATTTTTCTGTTACCGCTTATTACACCAAATGTCAACATTCTTAAGCAAATGACGATCATAAGGTACTACATCAGTAAAAAGCTGAGTTAGACTTTTGAAATACCACTTTTAACCTAAGAAGGAAGTTTGTTTTTTCAGTACCGTTTTCTCCTAGTCAATCAAGAAAGTTCATTCGTTCGGTCTGACACATTATCCCATATTTCTGCAACTGATTAACTGAGTTTTCAAAGCATAATTTTGCACAGAAGTGCAACAGTTTAAGTCGTTACACTGCATATAGCACACATAGTAGAGAAAAAAACTCAAAGGAACTACAATAAGAAAGAACAAGTAAATGAGGAAACATGAGGGCTTAGTGGATTTAGAAAATCACAAACAGTCAATTCATTTGCACCACAGATAGAGATTTTGAGCCATATCAGTAACGGCCCCGAGACATTGGGTCTTAGTCTCTCAAGAAATCTACTCAGTCAATCTTCACATCCCTAAGTGGCTGGCTTGAGCTAACAGTCAACTACTTCATGAAATGATACAATGTTTTGATTTCTCCTCCTTAACTCTTCTTCTACTTCATTTCATGTCAGTTAATATTGTCCGACGAGAAGGTAGATGACTTGATATGACTGAAAAGTATCTCAGCCATCTCAAGTCATGTTGAAATTGTGTTTAATAATTCTGTGATAATTTAGTTTGTCTTCGTGCTCGAATTATCCAGGAGCATTCTTAACATTAATTGTCTTTAGGATTCTAGTTTTAAACTGATTAACTCAGAATTTTCTTTAAAAGTGCGTTCACAAGTCATCTGAAATAGTATATATTTTGTCAATAAGCAACACTGACGCTTATCCACTCAATCAAAGTATAATGGCCTATGTTTCTCACTACTCCTGGAAAGTATCAAAGCTAGAACCGAACATCTGTCCACCATGATTTGGTTTTCGGTGATTCTCCAGCTGATGTTACTGAGTGATGACATCTTACATCTGAATAAGGTCATACATATGTTAATTAGAAATTTTCTAAGCCAAAATTGAAATCATGTATTGAATAAATTTTTTCAGAATTAATGCATAATCATGAAAATTGCACTTTTTCTAATGTTTGTTTTCTCCATCTTCAGCTGTATACTTCTTCCATTTTCTTTAGATATCCGTGTAACTTCTGTGATTTCCTTTTGTATTGTTTACTTCAACAAATCTATATTGAGTGATTTCAACTAATGTATTGTCTGTTTTCTAAGTTCTTCTCGTATATCATTGTTATTTAGCATCCACATAGTCTGTAAGCATTTCCTAGTAGAAGAGTAAAAACATTGTTAGAATTGAAAGGAAAGAAACTAAACAGAACCGAACTGAATCCATTAGAACTGGATGATTATAAAGTCGATAACGTTTTCCTAAACATTTCTTAATATTTAGTCACTAAAAGTTCACTGTAAGCGAATACATAATCTGGTACCAGTTCTTAGGCGGTATGCTTTAATTAATAATTCCTTCAAAATATTTCTAAGAAAAGTTTCCTTTTTTCTTTCTTACTTTCTATATTTCTCTTTCTTTTAGGTAACATGGTTATATGCACTCCTTTTTATAAGAAAAGACAAAATAATCAACCAGTGATGGTTAAATGACCTGTAAGAGTTGGACTTGGGTTAACTTCGACCTAACAATAACCACTCTTACAAAACTTCTTCACCGCTTATGGCCTTAATCGTACTCTGCCTAACGAGCAAGTACTAACGAACGGAATCAAGGTTAAAAGACCTGAGATGGCAGGTGTGACTGGAACAGAATTGTATTTACACAAAAGAGATATAGAATTTGATAAGAAATAAGAGGTACACACTTATCTGCAGGTGAGACGGTGTTAAGCTCGGAGAGTGTGCTAGGTGAAAGCACAGCGAGAGAGCGAAACCGAAACCGTACAGGAGATTCAGGAATACAAAGTGGAAGTGGGGTCAAAGGTCAGGCTGAGTTCGTTCAAACAAAAGTTCGAAGGTACACTACAGGTTATCCCCCCCTTAGAAGGTTGGTGGGATAACAGCAGGCTTCGATACATAAAAGTAGCAAGGTTGTGTACAATAACAGTGAATGAACAAGAAAGTGTGAAGATAGTAATAAAATAGTTTTTTTTAATATATATATATATATATATATTGCGAAAGGAAAGAATGAAGGAAAAAAAATTAAGGCAATTTATGAGCACTATGTACATGATCAATGGAGTAAGATGGAATATAAGAAGAAATAACGCTGATGCCTTGGTGCGATTTCGAGCTTCTGAGTTGTCTGTTTTTTTTTAACATCGTTTATTTTTACTGATCTTATTTTTTTTAAATATCTGTTTATTTATTTATTATTATTTTTTTTACGACATACTATTATGGGCTGGATTATGTGGAGGTCTGATGGTTTACCTCCGTTACCCAGGTTGTTATAACGCGAAGGTGACTCATTATGTCTAAGTTTCATCTTAGACTAATGCTCCATCCTTCCTCATCAACCAAAACTAGTAGTAATACCAAAGGCAATCAATCTACCAGCGTATTAGGAGGAATAAAGTAAAAGCAACAGAAAAGAATAGAAGAAGAGGTTAAGATTTAGAAATCAGCATAAGGTGTTAACAAAAACTTAAGCGGAATAAATGCGAGGGAACTAGTGTAACATGGGAGTGGTACGCCAATTTGAAATAAAACAAGGGAAATTGCTAGTGCTGTGAAAACTTATGCAAGGTACAGAGAAGTGTGTGTATAACCAATAGCTATGAATAGGTACAATCACCATTTTTTTTTAATGTTGCGAGCTGTATAATTAAAGTGATGCAAAGTAATTACAAGTATGGGTCACAAAATAAATAAGTTTCATCATGGCATAACCCGAGTGAAAATAGTAAAATCTGTGAAAATAGATTGAGCGGATTAAAATGTACAGCATAGAAGTGACGTATTTATATGCAAAAATATTTAACGGTCCGTTTAACTATACATTGAAAGTTTTTGTTTTTACATTTTATTAATTTTTTATCTGGTCTATATTTTTGTTCGTTTGGTTTGTAATTCCACAAGTGTTGGGAGCCACCATACGACAATGAAGTGGACTGGTCTAGCTAGCGGTTCGAGTGCAACGCCAAAAGTAAAATGTTAGAACACTCTGTAACGAGAAAGAAATCTAACGGGATTAGTAACTGAAAAAGTGGCTACTGCCCACAAACGAAACCCAAAAGAGTAAATATCATGAAAAATGAATGTAACCTGAGAAAAGACATGAGGGTATGAGCTACTCTTGTAATTAAAAGCGTTTAGTTAACAAATTCACAGTATCGCTTAGGCCAGTGTACACGCGGATCAGCGCGTGTAACCGGTGCTTTACTTGTCTCATCCGGAGAACTGCTAGGTTTAGTAGGATTTTCGACAATCTAACTTGGCTGGGGTGTGGGTGCGGGCGTAGTTGCTGGGTGTGTAGGCGTGAGGGGTACAGATTCTTCAATGTAGGCCGCTTTAAGTCTGTCGACACTTACGGTGTCTTGACGGCCAAGTCGATCAATAACAAAAAAATTTTCTTTCCTACTAACGACCTTGAATGGTCCATCATAAGGGGGTTGTAACGGTCTACGAACGGCGTCGCAACGCACAAAAACGTGTGTACAGTCATCGAGTCTAGCATCTACTTGCACTCTCTTGTTTTGTGTGCGTGTGGGAGTTGGTTGCAGGCGCTGCATAAGGCGCTTGAGGTTCTGAGCATAACAGTGTACATCCGTAGCACTTGGCTCACCACTTTCAGGTGAGATAATTTCACCCGGTAGACGAAGGGTGGTACCGAATACCAACTCTGCGGAGGTGCACTGTAAGTCTGCTTTGAGCGTGGAACGGATGCTAAGTAGAACTAGGGGAAAGAACTCGGTCCACTTAGTATTCTCGGTAGCCATTAACGAACGAAAACGTTCTACAAGTCCATTTGCTGCTGGGTGGTACGCGGTTGTTCGGATGCGTTTGCACCCCAGCAGCTCTAAGAGCTTCTTGAAGTGGGTTGATTCAAACTGCTGTCCACGGTCTGTAGTCACCGAAGATGGGCATCCGAATTGAGCTACCCAGCGTTCCATGAACACTCGGCAAATGGTTTCCGCGGTCGTATCGGAGATGGGAATAGCTTCTGGCCAACGAGTGAACCGGTCGACACATGTCAACAAGTAACAGTGGCCATTTGATGGTGGTAGAGGACCCACTATATCTAGATGTATGTGACTAAAGCGAGCATCAGGTGTGGAGAAGGAACCCACTGGAGTGATGTTGTGTTTGTGGACTTTAGCTCGTTGACACGGCACACAGGCACATGCCCAGATACGCACGTCGCGATTTATACCAGGCCAGACAAATCTAGCTGACACTAGTTTGTCCGTTGCCCGGATACCTGGGTGGGAAAGGTTGTGGAGGCTATCGAATACCGTACGGCACAATGAAGGTGGAACGATGGGTCTCGGGGTACCGGTGGACAGATCGCAGAGGATGGTACCCTCGCTATTAACAAGCGGTATACGCTTGATATGTAAGGAGGTATTTGACGAGAGCTTATCAAGATCTAACTCTGTAAGCTGACGTTGTGCCATTTGTTTCAGGTCAATGGTTGGTGGCGCCGACATGGTACATATCCTAGACAAGGCGTCCGCCACAGCATTGTCAACTCCCGAAATATGTCAAATGTCCGAAGTGAATTGTGAGATATAGTCCAAGTGACGCAATTCGCGTGGAGAATATCTATTTGTAGTAGTGTGGAGGGCGTAAGTCAGGGGCTTGTGATCGGTAAATACTGTGAATTTCCGACCTTCGACAAAATGGCGAAAATGTTTGATAGCCGCGTATATGGCGAGGAGTTCTCTGCCAAAGGTGCCATACCTCGCTTCAGCGGCGGACAACTTCCGAGAGAAAAAGGCAACTGGTATCCATGAGGTATGTACCTGTTGCTGTAGAACAGCTCCAATGGCTGTGTTAGATGCATCAACTGAGATGCTAAGCGGAAGATGGACGTCTAGGTGAACTAGCATGGTGGCGTCTGCAATTGCCGACTTAATATTCTGGAACGCTTCTCGAGCCTCTGGTGTCATGCTGAACGTTTTGCTCTTACTCTTTAGTAGGTCTGTGAGTGCCTGTAAAATATGTGCACATTGAGGAACAAACCGTCGGTAATAACTCACCATGCCTAGAAATGTGCGCGAAGATTTTATTGACGTAGGTTCCGGGAAGTCGCGTATTGCCTGCACCTTCTCAGGTAGCGGGCGAATTCCCTGTTCATTAATGACATGTCCCAGGAAGGTCAATGAACGGACGCCAATCTGGCATTTAGACATTTTAAGTGTCAAACCATGGGTTGTTAACCGCTCAAAAACCATCTGTAAATGCGTACGGTGGGTAGCTTCATCTGGGCTAGCCACGAGAATATCGTCGAGATAAGCATACGCGCAATCCAATCCGCGCAAAACATCGCGAATAAATCACTGGAATGTTTGTGCGGCGTTGCGGAGACCGAACGGCATTCGAAGGAATTCGAAAAGACCAAAAGGGGTGATCACTGCCGTTTTAGGAATATCGTCTGGATGAACTGGAATCTGATGATAGGCTCTTGTTAAGTCCAGTTTGCTGAATACCGTGGCACCTTTTAGTGACGATGTAAGGTCATGTATATGTGGTACGGGGTAGCGATCTGGCACGGTCTGTGCATTAAGCCTGCGGTAGTCGCCACAAGGCCTCCAGTCTATCCCGTTATTCTTTGGCACCACATGTAAAGGGGAAGGCCACGGGCTGCTGGAAGGACGGATTATCCCCATGTCTAACATATGTTCGAATTCGGCCTTCACGGCTTGTAGTTTTTCTGGGGACAATCGCCGTGGCTTTGCGAATACCGGTGGACCAGTTGTCACGATATGATGAGTGACGGTAGAAGTCACACAAGGAAGTTTGGAAACCGGTTTGAACAGGTTGGCAAAGGACTGGAGAACATCAGCGTAAGGGCCGTTAGAGGCAGGGGTTGAATATACTGGGCTTAATGCAGGTGTGTGCGTCACAACACCGGAGATCGAAAGGTTTGTAGCTGAATCGATCAATTTGTGTTTTCCAGTATTAACCAGTAGCTGATAGTGTTGCATGAGATCCATGCCAATAATACCGGTAGTTACATCTGCCACAAGGAAAAACCAGCGAAATGACCTACGTAAGCCTATGTTAAGATCTAGGAACCTTTTACCGTACGTTGTGATTGGCGAACCGTTTACGGCACGAAGCTGTAAGGAAAGTGGCTTCTGATGTTGGTGGAATCACGCTAACTTCCGCCCCAGTGTCAACCAGGAAGCGTGTCCCAGTGTTACGGTCAGTAACATAGAAGTGGCGACATGGAAGTGGTTCGCCAGCGACGTTAGTCGCCAATACGTGCTGGCTTACTGGTTTCCCGATTGCTGGACATCGAAGATGCACGGGCGAGTACACTTCTGGGCCTTGTCACCATAACGCCGGTGATACCAGCACACTCCAGGTTGGGAATTTTTAGGCCTACAACGCCTGCTGCCAGCTCGTGAAGAAGATCTACCACGAGTCGAGCTGGTGCGACTATTTGAGCGACCTCTAGGTCTCCTATCGATTCTTAACTTACAAATCTCCTCATATAGCTTAGTTATATGGGCCACCACATCTACGTTTGACGACCCCCCGGCAAAGGAGTTCTTAGTCTGCGTGGGACTAGCGGTAACGGCAGCCGAAATGTTCGTGTTGGATGTAGCAGTCTCTACCACTCTATCGGCTGCTTCAGCTAGTTCAGATAAGGGGGAATGGTTGATTGGAGCTAAAATGGTCTGAATCGCCTGTGGTAATCGTTGTAACCACAGCTGTTTTAAGAAGTCATCGTCTATTTTGGAGTCAGCCACCAACTGTCTCATTTGACGTAACAGTTGGGTGGGTTTTCTATCACCCAGCTGAACATCTCTGAATAGTTCCTGCACTTTCTGTTGGTCGTTAAGTGCAACGCGCTTAATAAGCGCCTGCTTGAGACGCTCGTACAAGCCCGGGGATCGATCCGCGAGGACATCAGATACTTCTTCCATGACGTTCTCAGGAAGACTTACGGTAACCAGGTTCACCTTAGTCTCTTGTGAGTGTATATTTCGTAGGGCGAACATAGCTTCGATGTGGTCGAACCATGCAACAGGATGATGAGTCCAGAAGGTAGGGAGTTGCAAGGTGATAGCCATTTCTGAGGCGGAACTGTTGTCGGCCATTCTGCACACGGGACGATATATTAATAAAATGATAACAAATATGATAACAAAAAAAATATGAGTAAAAACAAGGCAAGTAAAATTTTATAACTCTGTGTGAAAAACAAATTGCCAATATGAAAAAGGACTATTTACACGTTAGGCTACTAAGTAGGCAAACGGTGAAAAACACGGGCTCACCACTTGTAAGTGTTAGACTTGGATTAACTTCGACCTAACAATAACCACTCTTACAAAACTTCTTCACCGCTTATGGCCTTAATCGTACTCTGCCTAACGAGCAAGTACTAACGAACGGAATCAAGGTTAAAAGACCTGAGATGGCAGGTGTGACTGGAACAGAATTGTATTTACACAAAAGAGATATAGAATTTGATAAGAAATAAGAGGTACACACTTATCTGCAGGTGAGACGGTGTTAAGCTCGGAGAGTGTGCTAGGTGAAAGCACAGCGAGAGAGCGAAACCGAAACCGTACAGGAGATTCAGGAATACAAAGTGGAAGTGGGGTCAAAGGTCAGGCTGAGTTCGTTCAAACAAAAGTTCGAAGGTACAATGTACACTACAGACCTTCATTCAATGATAGGCATGTAAAAAACAATAATACTAAGTATTATGAGTTTAACACGTGAACAGGTTAAAATCACAACTTATTATTGAACTTGATAGAACCGGTTTATTCTTCCAGTGGAATACAATATGATTTTGTCAAGTCTTTTTTTAACAATTTATTTGAACTTGTTAAGATTACTATCCAACGTTATAACTTTAAATTTGCTTTAAAGCAGAATGAAATATCTGTCGCCTATTTTAATGTAGTGATGAGCTACTTACCAATCACTGACTAGTTGCCAGTTACAAAAGAACACATGCTATTATGTGTAACTTTAGAAAAGTAATGCTATTTTTCAGTTTTATAACAGAGCAGTGGTTCTGTTATTATATCAACGAAATATTAGGTCTTGAAGTTAAAAAAAATCTCAACCATCTCGGCATAAATAATCTGTTAGATATTACTAAAAGTCTACTAAACGTATGTATAATGCCCAAAAGCAGTGTTTAGGTACTATGATCCTGACAGATGGAAATACAACTTTTAGATCAAACTGAAAATATCTGCTATGCTATGGAAAAGTCCTAATTCACTAGGAAGTTTGCGTCGAAATTCTAATTCTCCCACATTCCTGTGCTTTATTGTATCAAAGTTCAGGATACTTTCAGACAAAAATAGAAACTAAACATGTATTGATCTAAGAATGTCAAAGTAAATTATATTATCTAACCTTCAAAGTTGTTATCAATAGCTACTTTATTCACCCAATAATTATAACTTTAATGAAAATTTACGAAGAATGTCAAACCAGCTGTAAGCTGTAACGATTTCAGCAGGTAACCACTGAATGTCGTGAAATCATAGGGCATAAAATAAGTCATGAAAAATAGTCATTAGGATATTAGATAAAAAAGAACAAGAAGTTCATCAAAGATATCTTTTCGGAAATTTCATTCTCAAAAGCGGTGCAATTACATTTATATACATAAGTTTACATTAGATACAACCATTATTATATGGAATTAAATAATGATAGTATCTTTGTATATAAATGCAACTGTACTGCTTTTGAGAATGAAATCTCCGAAAAGATATCCTCGATGAATTTCCTGTTCTTTTCTTCATAAAATAAATGACCACAGTATACAATCAAAGGGAGTGAGAATAATTTTAATCGCTTATTAGTAATAACTGGTTGTTAATTATTATTTGAATCAATTCTTTTTATGAATTTTGATGAAACAGTAAGGAGATGTAAGTCATATGATTCGTGTTATGTATTTACGCAAGACATTTAGAACAATTTGGTTACACAAATACTTGTCATAGGAATTTATGTAAAAGTAATACAATATGAAGGGGTGAGAGAATAGACAGGCCAAAATAAAAGGCCATATAAAAGGTCACAATAAAGAGGGGAGGTAATAATGTAACAGCAGAAGACAAGACACGGAAGCAAGGGTATATTTTCTATTGATCAAACCACTGTTTATATATACGTAGTTTATATTCTTTAACCAATCACTGAGCGTGTGATTTTGGTTTACATTAAACGACATGAAATAGAATGTTCAAACATACATAGTATTCTGTTGCTAATGCTATTTTGAACTGTGGGAATATCAGAGAATTATATTCAGTTGGAACACATTTTCTATATCACATCACCACAAAAGTACATCTCTTCCGGTATCCAAACGAAATTTAACGAGTAAGGTCATCTTTTTTCACCACTGAATACTTTCGGAGGATTCAGTTGGCTTGAGAAGCCATTTAGACATGTACTCTGAAGCCTTTACTTGCAGAGATCGATCAGTCCTCCCTATGTATTTATGACAAACATTCAAACTGATAGATATGGTGGGATTTGACAGTATTTGTCGTATGTTCTAAGGACTTAGATGGATATACAGACTTCACATTCTCAGTTATCCTGCTCTTAACTGCATAAAGTCTTTTTGACAGCAGCGTTCAGTTTTTTCTAAGTATCAGGTTATTATGATCACACATTTTAGGGCCTTGGTGCTCTGACCGCTTTATATCTCCTTATGAACTGCTCTGGGTAATTGTTTTCAATCAGAGTTTCTGTCAGTGTATTCCTTCCTCACTTTCAAGTGTCTCGTTGGATCATACTGTCCTGTCATGGTAAGTTTTTTGTATAGGTATCGTTGTATTGACTCATCAGGCCGTTGACTTAGGGATCTACCTAGGAAAGATTGACAGTTGTTTTTCTCTCCTAAAGATGTAAATGGTACGCTATTTTACGCTTTATTCATTCGGGCAAAAGTTAGAGTAGCAAAACTAGGGTTGTCAGTTATGATTAAAATGTCGTTGACGCATTTTCTATAACCTGGTACATTTTCATTTGAATCTCCCGATAATTAATTATTTATTTATTTATTAAATTGTAGTAATTACTGAGAATTAATATGGTCATAAGTACTGATAGGCACGAAATCTGGACGAAGCAGGGCATCCTACTACTTTTTATTCATTCATCTACAATTAATTAAGTGGTACTGAAAGAGCAATTGCAGCCTTATAGATCACTAATCCGTAAATACCATTTCTAACTCGATGTTACGAAATAAC